TTTTCATTTTTTTATATTAAAAAATCAAATAATCTATTTATCTTCAGTTAAACGTACACTAAGGAAACTGTTTCTTTAATTCTTGTCTAGTAAAAAAACTATAACATCATTGCTAAATCATGTATTGATGCCTTTTTGGCATTTTAACAGTTTAAAATCATTTCTGATTTCAATAAAGGAATCAAATGAAAACTTTAAAGAAAGTCCAGTTTAAAGAAAAATTAAGTACTTTAACCCTTTGAGGGGCGGTATATAAAATAATTTAAATTGTGGTAAAATTTCGCATGAACTATAACTTATGGACCCTAAAGACACAAAATTGAGACTTAAAAAAAATCTAGAGCAAAATCCTAAATTTTGATAGCCGGTATATATTTTATACCGGTGCCCCTCTAAGACATTTTTTTCCAGGTAGGTGCCAATTGTTAATTTTTGATTTTCAAATTAATTTTGCATACTTTTTATGTGCATCTGTAGAGTTATGCAAGTCTGAAGACAAAAACTTTTAAAATTTCAGTAGAAATTTAAAATTTAAAAAATAAAATATATGTTTTTATGCAATTTAATGATGAAACCCGGCTGAACCACCCTCACGCACACATACCTTACTACATTATCGAGGACCATAAAGCGCCATTTTTGATTTTTTGTAAATATAGGTTGTAATGTATCTTTTTGTTCAGGAAGAAACGCCGTTAAACAACTTTATTATTTTATACACCAGAAAGCTCTTATTTCGATTTTCAACTCCTTTGGCCTCCTAGAGGGCTTCTTTTCAACTTTTGGATAAATTCTAGTTTGCATCTAAAATGGGCCTTAGAAATATTTTCCCTCATTTCACAAACTGTGAAATTTATTTCAAAAACAACCTAATGCTAAATTTCTCTTGCATTCCCTAGTCTTTCATCTGAAATTAACAAAGACGATAAGAATAAAAGCATGCTTTCAAATCAGCAATTTTTGTGATTACACTAAGAGATGGATCTTCAGTGCACTTCCATTTCCCGTATTTAAGCGAGCTTTCTCTTTGTGTGATCTTATCACACCACACAAAGGGAAGAAGGTTTGACTCCCGAATGACAAATCAGTTGTCAATCACCTCCTTTCATTTTCCTTGGATTCTAGGATTTTGGAAAACAGGAAGCAAAGGGTGTCTTTTGGAGACTAACACGCCTACAATTGTGTAAAATTTTGACCCCAGATAGCAATTTCGAAATCGATGAATCTTTCTCTTGGGAAAGGGTGAAGTGCTGAAGTTAAAATTTTTTGCTAAATAGAGATGAATGAAACTTGCGCAGAGTGAAAAAAGAATAAATAAAAAAAAAAAAAAAAAAAAAATATTTGTATTCAGTTCTAGTGCAGAGTCAGTAAATTCCCCATCCCTTCATGAACATAATACTGAATCCTAAACAATTTGTAAACTAATCATAAACAAATTGTTACATCATAAACTATTATAATGTAAAGAAATGCTGTCATCTCTCACAGTAGAGAAGGAGAAGCCTGGTGCTGCCATCTATTGGCAAGGTACCCTCAGTAGGGGCGCCGGTATATATTGTATACCTGTATTAAAAACGTATACATAATCTTCTTTTAATTATCAGTTTTGATTGAAATGCAGTAAATATAAAAGGTCCAGCATATGTATGTCATATATTTGCAGATTTGGAATTTTTCTTTCCCTTCAATAGAATTGATCAATCTTCAAACATGATACCTTCGAACGAGGTATATTAATGTCATAACTGCAAAATACTGAGCATTCATAGGGTGGTGCTACTATTTAGAATCGAAAGGAAACACTAGAAACTTACGATTATAGCTTTTGGTATAGAGAAATTATAATTTTTTCCGAGGTTAAAAAATTGACAAACAACTGGTATGTACCGGTGCCCTTCAAAGGGTTAAAAAAAGTAAAGCATCAGGGTCTTATCATCAGATTTTAATATCTGAAACTAATCTCATAACTACTTCTCCTAAACACTTTTATTACGTTCCAAATTCTTATACATACAGTATATGTACCCCATTATTTTCAAATGTCTGATTCACCCAAAAAAGGTACGGCTCTGTGTTGTACAGATTCATTTAGATTACATTAACAACTTTTTGAAAGTATGCATTTTAAAAAATGATATCTTCATATTATTTAAATTAAATAAAAAACTGAATCGTGTTTATATTGAAGGAGAAGGATAGCAAGAACGCCTATATTCATGTTACCTCATATTTACATCAAAACACATTTTCCAAATCCTCATCTTTGCTCTGAAAAATCATATTAAAATAATTCTAAATACCCTGATTTCATTGTCTGTTTGTAGAAATTTCTGAATAGCAAAAAATCTTCATTGGTTTTTCTCGCGCGCTTCTATAAAGTTCATGCACTCAAGTTTGTTCACAGAACAAAATAGGAAACAACGGAATTCAAAGGATATCATTCACGTATTGAGATTGAAGCCTTGTCTTGATCCAAAAGTACAACTAGATGATGATATTTCCAGGAAACCTGTTACCAGAAGCCAGACCAGATCGCAGCGGGACACTGCTTCTTCCTAAGAAGGGGGAAATGTAGCAAAAATTGCTCCTTTCGATTAAGCTCCTCATAATTTAGTGGAGAAGACACAGCACTCAAAACCCAAAGGTCCTGGGCTCAAAACCTATCAAAGGCAAGATGCCTGATAATTGGTTTTTCTGTAAATTTCCTTCTTATTAATCTGTTTTCTTTATGTTCCAGAACATTTTGAGTCTGGAATGTTCCAGTATGCTCATCAGCCGTATATAAGTAGTTCTTCATTCAGTTCGAAATAATAAGTCTTTAGACTTGAGTACTTGCCTGTTCATTTGTACGATCCCTTCATCTACACGGCAATATTACTAATAATTGTCTCATCGATTCTAAAACATCTTTGTCATTGTGTGGCAAATTGTTTACGAGTTCTTTTGATTTAGGCATACCTACTTTTTGGTGACTCTAAATCTGATAAGTTACTAGCTGAGTATCCCAAGCTGACTAATCCTTCGTATAAAATCAACAATAATCAGACTTCAGCAATATTCCATAACATTGAGACTAGAGCTCTCCTGTGCATATTAAGCCTCATCGTTTGTTGTGGAATTTATTCCAGGCAGCATGACAAGAGTATTTCATGTCACAAGGAATCATTCAGCCATTCAAACGTCTTTGGGCTAGACCTCTGTACATGGTCTGTAAGGCTAATGGTGACTGGAATCCTTATGGTGACTATTACTGCATGAATGCTGCGACTATTCCTGACAGGTATACCATGCCACATATTCAAGACAGCACTGAGATTTTTTTTTGAAAAAATATTTTTTCAACTCTTGATTTGGCTAGGCTGTATAAAGCAAATCCTTATAAACCCAAAGGACGTGCCCAAAATAGCTGTTACCACCCCATTTAGATTATTTGAGTTCCTTAAAACCCCATTAGGTTTATGAAACACAAGTCAAACATTCCAAAGGTTTATTCATCAAGAATTCCTGGCTTAGACATTTATGTTCCCTACTTCGATGATGTATTTATGGCTTCAGTGGATGAAGATAAGCACGAGAGCTAATTTTGCTTGGTTTTTGATAAATTGCAAAAATATGGGTTAGTGAATCTTTCTAAATGCTTTCTTGGATGGGTCATCAGTATCATTCCTTGGCTGTTTGATTACCCATTCTGGACAGTTGAAGAGAGACACCTATAGTTTAAATTTTATTTGGTGATTTCAAATCTCTTCAACAGGAGCATTGCTGTTTTAGAGTTTTTTTAGTTAGAGAAATTACCATATTTATTAATTAGCTTAGATAATAATTACAGTTGCAATTTTGAAGTACTAGAACAAAATTTTCAATATACCAAAAAAAATATTCCGAATTAGAATCCAAATGAAGAAAATTTAGTACAGTTCAGTGCGTTTAGTACATTAAAGTGGGATCTGACATAGGATGTACAGTTTAAAATTGTAGATCCTCCTGTTAAAAAAAGGAAAATATTAGCCATACTGCCACAAATATATACTATCATTTGAGAACACATGCCCATTTATTGTTGTCAAAATCCCTACTACAAGAATGTTGGAAACAGAAAATATCATGGAATGAAAAATACAGCCTCCCCAGCATCAAACATTATAAACACATGAAGGATCACAGTAAGAAATTTATCTTCATTTTTATTGCTTTTAATTCTATTTTGTTTTAATTTTGATTCTATATAAAACAGGCAAATATTGCCTTAGCAAATAATCCTGCAACCTTGTATGTATCAGTTGTAGAGGTCACTCTTTGAACTACTATGGAAACTATAGAAATGTATTGAATTTCAGAAAAGGGTAGTAACGTTTGGTTAACTGGGCATAGGCCTCCAGCCAACTGTTTGATATTTTTGGAAGTGTTTCTCCATTATAGAAATTACCAAATGATCTGTGCCAAAAAAAAAAAAAAAAAAACTTTGAATACTGTCTTGCTTAAATAGATTCCATAGTATACCAACACTAAGTATCTGCTATTTATCAACTCATCTTCCATACATGAATATCATTAAAAACTATACTAATAAAGTTAAAAACACTTCCTACCAGCATTTATATGAACCTCTTCAAAGACTGCCTCATTAGCATACATTTGAACAGATAATCATGATAGGCTGTAACAAACGATATTTGCACAATGTCATTTGCTTTTGAAAATTGCTAATTTGCACTGCATGCTTAACTTTTGGAAGTCAGAGTATTAGTGAACTAATAATGCATTTCACACTGAAAGAACTAAATGGACCTACGGATATTTCTATTTTTTACCTAAGATATCTAAACGCTCTATTAGTATTTAGATTGTAATCTAATATTATATACAGACATACATATTAGCTGATTATTAAGGTGTAATGCTAAGAAAACAAATATGTATCAACACATATTGCTGACTTATGCAGATTTATGTAGTGCATGAAACAATGGTTACAAATTTCCATATATTAAGCAACTTACCAGGAATTCTGACCACATTGCTTAATGTCACATTATCAGGATATGGATGAGGTGTTTCTTGTACTACAGGCAAAGGCACATTTCGTCTGTTCAATACATCTTCTGCAACATCTTCTAATTCAGTGACACACAATTCTAATATCATCTCTCCAACCTGTGGACAATATCCAAAATCAAATGATTTGATTCACTGCAAATAAACTATTGCACCCCAACATTTCTGCAAAACCCTCTCCATCAGATCTTAAATTAGACCTTCAGGTAATTCTCCAAATTATTTTATTAAAGCAAAAGAGTTATCTGCATGAGTCAAATTCTTATTTCAACCAAGAGATACCAGCGAATGATTTGGTTTGATCAATTATGGCCTCCCCAGCATCAAACATTATAAGCACGTAAGGGCTATCTGTCTAAGGGGAAGATGCCTTTGTGGAGAACTTTCTAAGGCCAACCTGTTCATATATAAGTTACACATTCAGCAGATGAAATCTCAGGGTTTTATCCCTTATATTCTTATTGCCCACCTCTCAAGATGAGTTTTTTCTTCAAGTAAAGAGGCATCAAATGCTTCCATCCATCCTTTAGAAACATTGTCTTACTATATCAGTCAATGCCTTGTCTGGGACTTAATCTAAGCCCAACCTAAACCTAATAGTGCATGCAGTTTGTAATTACCATGCCATCTTGCACAACTCCTTCACATCACAGCATCTCTTACAATGACCCTTAATATTTACCACACTTCTGATTAGATATTTTTAGCACTATTCAATTGAATAACGTATGAAAATTAAGAGTTATTTCTAGTTAATAAAGTTAAATAATAGAGACAAAAATTAAACACACCAAGGCAATAAACATAAATCGAAAACTCTACATTCCTAAATACAGTCAAAAGTCGTTAATTCGGACACCCATAATCCGGAATGATCTATAATCCGGACCTCAAAGCTACAAACTTTCTGCGCATGTGTTGCGTTGATGCATGCACGTAAGATCTTTACAGCTGCGAATATGTTTGTGCGCGTGCGCAAAATACGTTTACGAGTGCGCGTTTAATGTATAACGGATGGTATAAGCTAAACTAAAATTATCTAATTATCTATTTCAGTTAATGTTGCAGATTGCGTTGTTCCTAAATCTTCGAATTGGATCCGGCTTATTATTTTTTGCAGATTGTTAGAGCAATTTTATAAAAGTAAGCTTGAACTTTCGATTATGTCAAATAGAATTTCTGATATATTTATTATATAATATGTAAAGGATCTAGGAATCAAACAAATGCGAAAGTTCGAAGTTCGAATTCATTAAAAAAAGTGGAATTGCTGCAAAAAATGGATAAAGGCATATCCTTTGTTTATCTAAACTTTAACGTTTGTTTATCTAAACTTTGTTTATCTTTAACGCCGCGGCACGCAATGAATTGGAAGTTGATCTGTCAGCACTATCCTTATCTTCAGGGCAGATATTTTTATTTTATTTGGCTTATAATTCCTTACTAAATGTAGTACTTCATCTTGTACTCCGTCTTTGATATGATTTAAAACAAATTCCTCGTCATGATAATTCGCTTCCGATAGCGAAAAAAGTGACAGAGGTTATTGAAAACGAAAAAATTTCAATTGACAAATTCGTTGGTAGACACAGCAATTATAGGACTTGAACAGCGGAACTTTGTAACTGAACAAGAAATTATGTCTGTTTATAGAATTAAAGAGAATGTATTATCACATAAAAAACGAAGAAACTTAAATAACTTACATTGAAAGAAATGTTTAATAAAGTAAACAAATAAATATTAAGCTTTTTTTTTTGTAAATTTTGATACCCTTTAGATCATAATTGTTCTTTATTTCATAAATTATGGTTTCATATTTTTAATTTTATAATTTCTGCTTGCCATCTTACCAGATTTAAACTGATGATCTATAATCCGGAATCGCTGAAGTCCCGACGAGTCCGGATTAACGACTTTTGACTGTCTATATTAGTGGCATTGCCAAATAGCATTAAAATAGATAAAAGAATAAGAATTAAAACTAGAAACCCACTTCTCTTTCCCAATAAGTCACCCTGAGAAGGCCATTGCCTAACAACATTCATGCTTAACTCATTTTCCAACTTAATGCACAATTTACAAATATCTGATTTAATATAACATATATGAATGAAACTTTAATCATTTCATTAGTGCATAGTTGCACTATATATATTCCCTTTTTTCATAAGTGATCAATAAATATCATTCACATTGTGAGCAAGCCTATGAACTATCTGCTCAAAAATGGAAGAGCTAAAAGAGCCATTATTATTATTTTTTTTTTCTATTTTTTCATTTCATGCCTTTGAGCTATCAGTTTCAACATAACATGAATATTATAAAACTAAGCAGCTATTATGATAAAGGATATGACTTTAAAATTCATCTATACTGCCAATGTGCATGGCCAGAAAGTCTCTTTACATGTTTAAATATTTCATCATAACTTTGATAACACTTACAGTTACTTATACAAAATGTCTGTATGTGCACCACAATTATCCATGCATAGGTTGATAAGCATGAATATCTTCTTACTCATCCGATTTATCAGTTGAAGTGTCACATGCTGGAAAGCTTCAAGCATACTAGCCCACACAGCATCACTGCCCATGTACTGCTTCTCCCTGACGTGTATGATTTGATGATCCCGTACAGGGCAATGTTTGGTGTCGTAAGGTCCAGACTTTGAGGTGACCAACGGCTGGTGAGTTTGCAAATCCATATCTTATCCACTGGCCAGTGAACAGTTACTTCAGGTGTTCCCAATCACAAAATGCAAAGTGGGCAAGAGCTACATAATAATGGTAAACAACCATGTCATTGAGGTCCAAATGCTGCAATTGTGGAAGAAGCTAGTGATTCAACATTTCCAGATAAGTAACCTGGGTCATGGATTACTCAAAGAAGTATGGACTAAAGATGTCTTCTTCAGTTATCCCTGCCCAAAGTATGACATGTGATGGATTGTTCTAAATTTTTTGGTAAAAATGTGGGTTTTCTTTTGCCCATATGTGAATGTTCCAATCCAGTGAATCTCAGTATAAAACTAATTCCAAACTAAATAGCATATCTATCAGAGAAAAGAATGCATTTTTGAGCAGGAATGGTGGAGAAGGCCACCAAGATCCTGCATGCTTCCTGTTGGCTGTTTAAGTCATCATCCATTAGTTTACAATGTATTTCTCTCGCCTTCTTAGCGTGCCTTCGTGGTGCAGTGGTCAGCATGCTCAGAGCATATTCAAGAGGTTCGTGGTTTGAGTCCCGATGAGGGCAGTGCTCATTTTTCATGTCTCCTGCTCCGAAATAAACTAACGTCTCTACAGTGGCACCTGAACTAAAATGATGATTCTTCATCACCAGGATTTGGCAATTGGGTCCCCTAAAACCCCAGTCACCCTTTCAAAGGGGGAGTAAATAAAGTATTTCTCCTGCCTTCTTAGCGCGCCTTCGTGATGTAGTGGTCAGCACGCATATTCGAGAAGTCTGTGGTTCGAGTCCCAGCAAAGGCATTGCTCATTTTCATCTCTCCTGCTTCGAAATAGCCTAATGTCTCTAAAAGTTTATTGATGGCCACTAGCCAGTTTCAACTGGCTAACTGAAACATTTCATTGGCCATGAAATTGAACTGGCCAAATTGCATCATCCCCTTTTACCTTGAGATGTTCTTAATGTTGCACTGCAGAGAATTCCATTACATCCTGGATACATTTGTAAAACACCACCAAGCAAACAGTAATATATTTTCTAAAATCATCACTATTAAAACTATACCACAGATTTGACTACCAGCAATCTTTTTTTGGGCATAATATAGACAAATACTGCTAAATATTCATTCTAGAACCTTTGTCTCAAATCCTCTTAAATTTTTTATAGATACCTGAATTGTATTAAAAATATGTGTATATGTGCCAGTCCCAACATTTACTTTATGAAATTTTGCAACAGTAGTGTTGTTGTCATTCAGTACCTATATGGTGTGCATTGCTGTGGTTGCTTGTTCCCATGTAACCTAATATTCCCAATATATTTTTTATTGTTCAACCTGGCCTATGTCGTTTCTTTAACCCATGAATAACTCAAACTTTATCATGTTATCAGCACGAAAAGCTCAAAAGGAAAAGCCATTATGATCAAGGATTGAAGATCGCACCGAAGCCTAACCACGTCGTGAATCTGAAGTGAGCGGATAACCATCCTTTGACGAAGTAAACAAAAATATTTTTTGTGAATGCTCGATACATTTACTTGAAGAATGACATCTGAAGATTATAAAATGCCGAAACTAAACGGCGATAAGTATCACATATGGTGTATCCGTTCGCGTGCCGTGCTGGTGCAGAAGAGATGTTGGGAAGCAGTGGAACCCGGATATGGAATAGAAATGAATGAAGCGGAGAGGAAAAATAATGATGAAGCTCTTACCCTATCATTCCTCATAGTTGAAGATACATTTCTAGATGATATCAGAGATTGTATTAGAGCCAGAGACACCTGGAACTGTTTAAAAGAAATGCATACAAAATTCGGTCTGCTTCATGTACTGCAACTTATGAGAGAATTTAACATAAATATGAAGCCAAATGAGTCCGTCCAATCCTATCTAGCAAGATTAATGGACTTACACAGAAAATTAGCTAATGGTGAATATGCATTCACAGATAGAGAAGTGGCCCTAGTGATGCTAATGGGACTGCCTAGAAGTTATGAATCGCCCATCCTAAGTTTGGAAAAAGATGAAGCAAATCTGACAACTACGATCGTGAAACAAAGGCTACTTGTAGAAGAGAAAAGTATAATTAGAAATGAGAGTTCAGCCAAAGTGTATCATGAAGAACAAGCTCTTCACACTAAAGGTTTTGCCACCAACCAGAAGAAGCCTGCATTTGGAAAACCCATCAAGAAGTATGCAGCTAAAAAGCCAAATGAAGAAGAAACTAACAGAGGAAGAAGTAGTAAATGCTTCAGCTGTGGCCAGTGGGGGCACATATCTAAAAATTGTGAAGAGGGCAAATATCAGAACCAAAAGCATGCCAAAACTGCAGTTGACCTCAAGACAAACATTGCACTTCTGGCAAACGAAGAAAAATCAAGAAAAAGTAATCTGTGGA